TATTTCCAAGTCTAGTTGATATTTAGACGAAGCTGCTCTTAAAGTCTGGTACTCGAGCCGAATTGTAAGTGAAGTATGATGCATGCATACTTTGCCTTATCAAGATTTTTGGAAGTCATTTTGGCTAGGCAACAGGGTTAGTGTTTGTATGAGAATCCGATGGTAAATAATTTTGTTAAAAGTTGAATTCTGAACAACTTAGGAATAGCAAAGTCTAGATGCTAGACAAAGGATTGCATTGAACATATTTGAGGGATGTCGTTGTAGTAGAAAGCGTCCAGTTTTTAATTTTCCCTACAATTAATTTCTCTATGAACTTTTTCGGAGAATTGAGGCGTATACAAGTTCGCGTCACTCCGCGGAAAAAAAACATAAATAAACGCACTAGGCTGTAGTTTTGTTTAGGTCTTAGCAGTCAAAGGCACAACCCTTGCTAAAGTAGAACAACGATTTAGCAAGAATGGAAGCAGTTCCTGGCTTCTGCAGTCGAATATTTTAGCGCCAGTAACGACGAAAATTTCGTTTCAAAAAGCCGTTATTGGAAATTTTCCTATCCAAAGCAAAACTAAAACAAATTGTGAGTTAATACGATGTTTCTTAATTTACAATATACAATTCGTAACGTTTGTTTTGCCGGTATTTTTTAATCATATTTTGATAAAGTTGTCCCGGGTAGGCGAGTTGTTTCTAGCAGGGCGTTGGATTGGTTACCCTGGCCTCGGGTAACCCCAGTGCTCAGCTAGGGTTGTCCTAGTGCCAGGATAACCCTACCAGCCTTGTAAACGCGTCTATGTAAAGAATAAGAAATGTGGGACTGCTATGCATGGTAATTCTCTTGCTAGGGTAACCTTAGCACTAAGGTTACCCAACCCCATAAAAAAAAAACATGGGACGGGGGTGCTCGTCGGAAGTTTTGAAAACAACCCCCAAAATCTTAGGGGTTGTTTTCAAAATAACAAGAGGTACCAAGATCCGGTTTTGTGGGCGTGGCTTGAAATTTGTTTCACCTCTATGAGGTACTCTGGTTCTCAAATTGATCCCAGGACCGCAAATGATCCCCAATTTGGACCGCAAATGATCCCGGACCGGAAATGATCCCCATATGATATTGGACCGCAAATGATCCCGATCCGAAAAAAAAGGAATGACATGGATGGTGGAATGGTGTGGATAGAGAATTGGCTTACGTGAATACCGATATTTTATTAAAACGATCTTAAATGATAAGGCTGTAGGGATGTAAGGTCGTGTAAGGTCGCAGGATTGTTAGGCCGTAGGGTTGTAAGGCTGTGGGGATGTAAGGCCGTAGGGTTGCAAGGCTGTAAACTCACTCGGTGAGCCCTAAGGCCAAATGCATAATGCGGTAGATATAAAATTATTTTTCTACTCGTTGCCATGGTAACGGATAACAATACTAAATATGTTAATATGTTACAAGTCGACGGCCATACACTAAACTGTTTTATTGAGCCTGTAAAGTTGTAAAACCTTACAGAAAACCCTTACCACAAAACCCGACCGTAAATCGTGCCTGGTATACCGGCCGTCGTGAGTTTATATCACTTCCTTACATCTACGGTCACGCATGAATGATTCATTCAAAATCGATGCATGTGGTGGTTTTGGCTTTGTCAAAACGCTTAATTTGTGACACACCCCCTAGTGTGGTTCACGTCTTTTCGCAGTCGAGTCAGGTTTCTCCTCGGTCATATCGAGTTCAGCGTCGTCTCAAAGATCAGTAGTGGTTTCTCCTCGCTAGTTTTACCCTCCCTACCCTCTCTGGGTTTAATTTCATAGCCTTTAGTTTTCAATAAATTGTTCTTTTGCCCCAAACTCGTTGCGTTGCTGTTGTGTCTACTAATTGCAGACAAATTCTTATTGATTTATGTTATCTTCAAATTCGTATTTTCGCATAACAATAATATTCGATATTATTTTGTCCCTCCCGCCATCAGAATGTCACGCAACCTTACATGGACTTCACAAAAAAAGAACATTCCACCACTCAGTTTAATAATTAAACAGTAATTGAGACGAATTGATTCCAGGTGTTCGGCCTGTCTTTTTCAGGCGCAGCAGAAGCTTCAAAGTCTTCAAACATGCCGGTGGGGAGTTTGATCCGATTGACGATGCGTTTCTTGAAGAAATCTCTTCCACTCCTGCTTACCTGCGTAGCGTTCTTGTTAACCGTTCGAATCTGGCGTGTGTGGAACGATATCAACCTAAACGCGGTGAATTATCTCGCGACTCCTTCTCCGGATGAGCAGTCAAGAACAGAAGTTCTCAAACAAAGCAATTACTTCGGTTCATTAGTAAACGATCACACCATCACCGGTACACCAATTGTTCAACCACACATTCATCGCACGAAATTACTGAGTACGGCTATCTGTACGAACTCTGTGTTTTTGCTCATTTTGGTGTCCACGAATGTGGGAAATGTTGACAGGCGCCACTTAATACGCAAGACTTGGGGAGCCGATTATTCTATCAAAACAAAATGGAAAACCGTTTTCCTCTTGGGCAAAAACAGCAACGAGGAAGAAATGAGGAAAGCGAAGAAAGAGGCCGAAATTTACGGCGACATGGTACAGGCAGACTACCATGAACATTTTTGGAACATGAGTTATAAAGTTGCCATGGGATTCGAATGGTCGGTGAAATATTGCAATTTTCATTACCTCCTGAAGTCAGATGATGACGTGTTCGTGAATACCTTTGGTCTGATGGACTTCCTGAGCAAATACACAACACCAAAGAAGAAGTTTTACACCGGGAACATCATGGTTGGCAGTGTTGTCTTGCGAGATGGTAGATATGCGGTGTCACCTGAGGAATACAACGAAACTGTTTACAAGCCATATTGTAGCGGGGGAGGCTATGTCTTGTCGCATGATGTAGTGGAAAAGTTTCTGTCGTATTTTGATGTTTTAAAGCCTTTAAAAATCGATGATGCGTACATTGGTATACTGGCGGACCGGGTTGGTGTTAAAGTTACTCATAATAAAGAATTTCGCATGTATGAAGACAAGTGTGAATACAAGGAAACTACTTTAGTGCAGCACCCAGCCAGAGGTGACTGTCTGAAAAAGCTGTATAATAAAATGATCGAGGGTGTTTTGGTTAATTAATTTCGACTAAAGACAGGGAAGTCATGGCTAAAGGTGAAAGAAAAATAATTCGCGAAAAACAAGTTTAAAAATGAGAGCAATGTACATTTTAGAAAAGAGTTATAGTGTTCAACGTTCGGTAAATGAAGTATAAGAAAGCGAATATTTAAGTAGGTTGAAACTGAAATTTACATACTAAACAGATGGGTAAACAAACACTTTGTGAGCAGGTTGCACGTAATTCAGTTCTCGGGTTTGAGTTTACGCAGGACCAGCATCTTTTTAATGAGGCAATCAAATTTGCTGGTACATTTTGAATTTTGCAAGCGTGTGAAGCTGTTTTATGCTTAGTATGTCAATGTTGTCTGTGATCAACTATTGAGTAGACAAGTGGCAACGATGAATCTATTATTTTGGTAAGTGGTTCTGAATTTCATGTTTAATTTGAGGTGGTAATATTTGTTAATGGAGGACAGGGCAACTTTCTTTTATGTCCATCCATGTGCTTTGAGTGGACAGTTGTCTGTCTTTAGGGTGTGCCTTAGAGTGATTTTCATTTGATGTATGAAACAATACTACCTTATGTCTCATAGACCCTTGACATGAATGGTGCCTACATTTGAATAACAATACTTCGTACATCCTTAGCCTCACACTCATGTTTCCAGACAAATGATTTTTCACATGAAATGAAGCTTAGGATGTATAAGTATTGTTATTTAAATATCATCATCATTTATTTGAAGGGTCTGTTGACATAAATGAACAAAGGGAAGAGAAAGGTTTGGGGAGCAGTAGTATGTATAGTACTCCAGAATCTATTTCATGGATAAAGGGATCATTTCAATGCTTGGTGCTAGTGCAACCAATGATGTTAACTCATTTGACTGTTTTGGTTTATGAAATAATTGAATGCCAGGTGATGAATGCTTTTGCGAGAAAGTTGCTTTTAAAATTTTGCAGTCAGTCAATGTTTTGAAGAGATATTGCCATACAATCAATCAATCAATCAATCAATCAATCAATCAATCAATCAATCAATCAATCAATCAATCATTTTTTAAAACTTGGTTAAAATCTTCAGTAATTACAATAGTATATAGTATACTAATCTAAATACATTACATTAATTTAAAACTATCATATACTGTTTTACAAGGTTGCCAAGTGAGAATCTAGTTATGTAGCTATACAAATGTCTGTACATGTAATGTATTTAACAAAGGAAAAAATTCTCATTTGGTATCTATTTATTGTATCTTTAAATTTATAGGACTAGATCTCAAGGGCCTCCACAACAACTCAGAAGACAAATATAAGATAATTGTGGATAAGTGTCTTCTGATCTCTGGCAGCTATTTTGAATTTTTACATATATGCAGAATTCTAAATACAGGGTAATCTGGTGAGATGTGTGGCAAAATCAGCCACCTTATTTAACTCCAACAATTACTAAGGCCAGCTACTTCAAAACTTTGTGTCATCCTTCAAATTCAAGTGAGGGCTTTCTGTGCCTAGACCCAGTTTTTGTTAAATATCACTTATGCATTAGTCACTTTACAGCAGTGCCCATCCCACACACCCCTGAGGCAAAATCAGCCAATAGCCAGGCATGATCCTTCTCTAGCAAACGGAACAGGCAAAATATTTTTATGCAGCTGATCATCTCAGAGAGCTTTAAAATCAATAATTAGTATATGATTATTTTATCTCCTGTTGATCATATATTGGATCAAATGAAATTTGATCTACAACTGATCAATGGGAGATGAAAAAGATAACATGACAACATCATGTTTGCATTCTTTGTCAAATGCAAGACCTAGACCACATGGGGAGGGCACAAAGTAATAAAATGTCAAATTTCCTATCCCCGGGATTTTAAGACATGATCATATGTTTTAACCCTTCAATGAAATGTGGTGGTTTGCAACCATTCCCGAGAGATCCAAATGACAAAGACCCATGCATGGCCATCCAACATGGCGGCGTTGACGTCAGTTGCAAAAGATTTATTCCGCTGACTGAAACCAAAGAACGCCTTACACAATGAAAATTTTGCAAAAGAAAGAACAAGAAATATAATACACGTTGACTTCACATGTGTTGTGTAACAAGATTGTTGTACCACAACATCAGATATTTGAAGTCAAACCACGGCACTGGCCACTCCGATACACTAAAGTAGATCAAAACACAGGTGAACTCTGTTGGAGGGATGGTGGATGGTACCTTGAAAATCTTCAGTTGCGGTAACAGCAAACCACATTTTTAACATGATCATGGCGTGGAAAGGGTGGAAAGCAAGCAACAACTACAACCCTTCAAGACAACTTGAACGGCAGTCGCCAACAGGCGCGGCTGCTAAAGGACTGGCTTGGTTCCTAAGTCAAATAAGATGGCGACCTCATGATCGCGATTATTGTTGAATATTTTCCTGTTCTCAGAAATGGAAATAGAACACTGTTGGAATCAGTTTTGTCACAATGCCGGAAAAGGTAAAAATTATAGAATGGCATCAGCTGGAAAAGAAGAAGTACTTTCTGTTTTTGAACGTGTACATGTTGAGCACAAATGCAGTCATGTATCCGGTCGACTTGATCAAAACGCGACTTCAACTCCAGCGCACAAAATCCCTTTACAAAAACACACTGGATGTCGTTTTGAAGACTATAAAACGCGAGGGGTTCTTGGGGCTGTACAAAGGATTTCCAGTAAGCCAGCTCGGCGTTCTCAGCGGCCACGTGTACGCTACAAGTTACGAGATATCCAGGGAACAATTTTCCACATTCCAGAATGCATTCCGTGGTTTTATAGCTGGTGGCATAGCTGCCGTCATAGAGCAGACATTTATCAATCCAGTAGATGTTATATCTCAACGTCTGATGGTAGAAGGGCAAGGAGAAAGAAACAAACAGGGTGGCACCATAAAGTCTGTTAAAATTGCTAAGCAAGTGTTTAAGGAGCATGGAGTTTCCGGTTTTTACCGTGGTTTCGCTGCGTCTTTAATGGTCGAGGGTCTTTGGAGTGCCACTTGGTGGGCCTCTTATAGCTTGTACTTGGATGTGATTGGGAAAATGGTCCCTGATGGGACGTCACACCTTGTTATTAAGGGACTGTCAGGAATGCTAGCTGGAATCAGTTCAGCTGTGGTAGGAAATCCGTTAGACATCATCAGAGTTAGATTGCAGGTAAGTTAAAGAATTTGAATGGTGGGTCACTGGAAAGCAATCCAGATAATTTAGATGGGACACAAGATGAGGGTTATATCAGTTAGTGCAGGTTGCAGACTGAAAATATTTTGGGTGGTGCTGTGTTGTGGCCAAATCAATCACATTCTCAGAGTTCACACATTTTCTTGTTGTTTACTCTGGACAAAATCAAAAACTGGAACCAGAAAATCCTGGTTCTAGTTTGATTGTTTGCACGCATTATTTTATAATAAGTTCTATAATGGTTTCTAAACACGCATAGAGAGAGTAACTGCTGTGATTTATGCTGACCCAGAGGTCTTAATTCTTGGTGCTAACCACAAGGATCATGGCATCAGGCTAGTACATGGATTCCAGGTTGAGTAGCCTGGATTTGAGCACAAGCTGGACCATTAGGCTAACAAACACTGGGGGGAGGAAGGTGGGGGTAACCTCTGCTGGAATGCCATCCCATCCAGGACAAGTTTTAAGAGAGGATCTGCTTTGTTGGCTCATAAAAGTTTTGATGGCAAGTTTATTATGTCTCTTTATTATTTTAGGTGGAAGGAAAAAAGTCTATTGTGAGAACTCTACGAGATCTACTGAAAAATGAAGGACCCATGGCATTAACAAAGGGAATGTTTGCTAGTGTACTTTCTGAGATGCCATGCAGTGCAATTACAATAATAGGCTATGAAATGGTCAAGAAATTAAGCTTAAAGGAAAAGGAGGATTCTGGTGCTGAATAATCAAGAACTTTTTGTTTTATGTACTTAAAATTAATGGCTAAAATTTAAGGCTAATGTGAATAAACTGGACTGTAGTAGGTTTATTTTTCTTTTTTACCACATTGAGCCTGTTTGGACTGGTATGGCTTTGAGACAGAACAGGACCTGACTTGTCCCCAGTCATCTCTTATGTCTATTTTTAAACATAAGCAAAAGAATCATGAGTTAGAGAAGCATGTGGGGCCCATCGTCCCCTTTATTGCGTGCCAGTTTGACTTGTTCCCATCTTTCTAATTATCCCAAGGCATGATCCTCTTGCATAACACAGTGAACATAACAAGTCAGTAGCTCTATTTGGGCACCTTTACTGAGGAAATGAGAGGCAATGAGGGCTTGACGAAAGCCCCCAGGGGAGAAGAGAGGGTAAATAAATAATTGGTTTGATCAAATGAACAAAATGTGGTGGCCATATTACAACCAAATGTCAGTCTACAGCTAGCCAGGTACAGCGTGGAGTCTCTGGGCTAGTTAAGTTATGCCCTAGGACTATGAACCAATAATGCTTCTCTTGTAAATTGAGACGAATAAGATACAGCTGTGGATTGGGCAGGAACAAGGCCAGATTTGGAAATTGGGCTCCTGAGTTTTCAGCGCTGGCATGGTGGTTAATCATTTCTTGGTATGCAATGCTGTCTACAAGGTCAATCTGTCGGGTTACTGACCGCAGAACAATAGCTTAGTGACACAAGTTGTATATTTAGGCCCTTGGTACTTTGCGGAGACTGTATATATAGAGGTTATATAGGCCATAATCAAAACAGCTCCATAGAACAGAGTTTTGGGACAGCCCCAACAGCATACCACCTTTACAGTCTGTCACTTTCATCTTATCTTCCAGAGCTCTTCTCTATGTTCTCGTTAGTCTTTCCCTTGGTTTACAACATGCCATAACTTTTGTGAAGTGACATTAGTATCACCATGTGAACTACCCATTTTCAGCTGAAAATCTTGTGTGAGGCTGAAAACTTATCACTGTGTCAAATCCAGCTGGTTTGATCTGTGGTGAAAGTTTGCCTATCAAGTTGTAGGCTGGACACCTGGGACGGACTTAGTGGGTTTGGACACATGGGACGGATCTAGGGTTCGGTTGAATCCCGTGAATTAAAAAAAAAAAAAAGAGACAACACGCTGCCTTGGTCTGCGTTTACCATCCCATTTCTGAGGGCAATTTTAACAATTTTCTGGGGGAGGATGCCCCAGAACCCCATACAGGAAACCACCTTTGGCCCGGTCTATAACTCGAACCCCCTTCCTAAAATCCTGTTCCTCCCCAGAACACTTCTTTGGAGAGTTGGCAGGTCTATGTAACCAGTCCAGCCTGTCTCATGTAATCGGGCTCTATGGCAACAAGTGTGTTGCCTCGTACGAAATATACAGCAACCGACCAATCAGGGTATGTGTAATTACAAAACCATAATTTTGCAAAAAAAAAAATCATATGTTAGTGTAAATATATAAAAACTGAAAATAAACAAATGAAAGGGAAAAAATAAATAAAAAATGTAAATAAGCGACAAATAGAAAAGTCCTTTCAACTGGAACTTGATATTTTAAATTTTTGTCTAATCAGCAAAAGAAGAAAAAAAAAAAACCAATGGTGATCGGGTCCCCCTCAAAATATCAATTGAAAGTTGAACATATTTACAGGTGAAGAGAAAACGTTGATCATGGTAGCCAAACCAAAAAATAAATGAATTCATCAAAACTTATTCTCCATACTGGTCCTACGACAAATGAACAAACATTATTTTCAACATCAATCAAAGAGAATTGATAAAATAAAATCAACGTCTATTTGAGGGGTCCGTTGATAATGCAACCCTCCTGACTTGACGAACATAAGTTCTCTGAGCAATCAGGTGGAAAACAGGAAAATCTGATCCTATGTGGAGTAAAATAATAGTGGTTCTCAGGCCGCAATTTTGAAGTGTTGAATTTAAATAAAGTTTTAAATTTTTGTAGTTTTGTGAAGGACAGAACAGAAGTTAACGTGACTTTACACTTCAGTGATCTTAGCGATATAAAGCCCCGAGGTAAGTCACGTAATCCACTTTGTATAATGGCTTGAAAAAACGACACTGGACTTAAAAAATTCATTTCCGATCGCGCCACAAAATTCAGAGGCAAAAACGTTATTCCCTTAAAAGATGGCCAGTCAAGTCCACCTCTTTCAATTAGCGTGACTATTTTGACGTAACATTATATGGTGCGTACTTAATTGATTAGCGTAACGAACAGCGTAAGGATCAATTTTGTTTTGGCGCGCGGGCGCGCAGTTCCATCAAAATCTCACCTCAATGCCAGAGGAGGTGAAACAGATAGAATGGCAGCATATTGATAAGCTCAAATACTACACCTTCGGTAGTGCTTTCTTCCTTGGTGTGAACGCCATTTTATATCCAGCTGATGTGATCAAAACTAGACTTCAAGTTCAGCGTGCAAATGCATTGTACAAGGGCACCTTGGATGCTGTGTTCAAAACTGTCAGATCTGAAGGAATTAGAGGGCTCTACAAAGGGTTTGTGGTCAGCCAGTTAAGTATTTTAACGGGGCATTTTTACGTGACAAGCTATGAGGTTTCGCGTTCGCAGATTTCATTCCTCGGAGATGGCTCTCGCGGGTTTGTGGCTGGTGGAATTGCTGCCGTAATGGAGCAGTTTTTAGGAAATCCGATCGAGGTAATTTCTCAAAAGCTTATGATTCAAGGACAGGGAGAGACGAGCACAAAACTCAAAGGAGCTTTACATATCTCTACAGACCTTTTTAAAGACCACGGAATGGGTGGGTTTTACCGAGGATTTGTGGCCTCTTTGTTAACGGGAGCATTGTGGAGCGCTGTGTGGTGGGGTTCGTATGGTGTGTACTTGGACATGATTGGAGATTACGCACCAGAAGGCACCTCTCATCTGTTGATTCAGAGTGTGGCCGGTGGATTTTCAGGATTAAATGCAGCAGTCATTGGAAATCCCTTTGATATTGTTAAAACAAGGCTGCAGGTAAAATGAAAAAAATATATTTGGGTTGTTATCTTGTGCTTAACCCAGTGGTACCTGGATATGTCAGGAAGAAAGGTAGATCCAGACATGCAAACCAAAATAAATATGCATATTAAACCTCCTGCTGAATGGTCTCAGAGCCAAAAATGTGTAAAACATCATTTAAGAGGAGGAGATGAGAAGGAGATGCTCAGTTTGACAGATTTACTTTTAGTAAAACAGGCATGTATATTTAATTGTGCATTGAGAGGCTGAGCTTTATACACCAGTATCTCAGAATTATTTGTGCCAATAAATTACAACAATTACCTCAGTTGGTTTTGTATAAGCTGGACACCTCTAAGATGGACAGTATGGGAACAGTCCTAACGGTGTCCATGTCAGATAAAGTTGATAATTTTCAAATTTATATAGAAAGCCTGTCATAATTTACAGGGCCTTTTATATAGCCAGAAAAAATTCCCTTGAATAGCAGGTCATTTTTTGGGTTTGTGCCTAAATAGGGTACAATTTGCATTTGCTTCATCCTTAACTAGGGTCAGGGTTTAAGACCCTTCAGGCACACACCTATCTGAAATTTACGGGAGTGCCTTCAGGCCCCCTCGGGAGGATAAACTCTGACAGGAGATGTAGGCCTGAAATAGCTGTTAAGTACAGATTTAATTTACTTACATTCAGTTTTAACAGGCTCAAAATTTCCCATTATGTGTATTAAAAATCTTTTTGCTTTTTTAGACTGTCAGATGCTTAAATTATCTGGAACTACATGCTCTATGCTAATAGGTTTTAAAAGGAACTGTAATGTTCTCTCTTCTCTCAGGTTGAAGGTGGAAAGTCGATGACAAGATCTTTCAAAGAGTTACTAAAGAAAGAAGGTCCAAAGTCCTTCACAAAAGGAATGCTTGCTAGCATAGTGTCTTGGGTTCCCTCAAGTGTCATAATGATAGCCTCATATGAAACAGTGAAGAAACTCAGCTTAAAGGAGGAAGCCATTGACTTGTTCCTGTAACAGGCATTTAAAAGAATGTTTTCAAGTCAACATTCTCTCTATGGGAAAATCCTGGGTGCAAGGTTACTGGGGTTGCATTGCCCCTTTTGGAGAAATTGTAAATAAATCTGCTTGTGTTACAATTGTTTTCAAAGGGACCTGTCTCATTCTTTCAACTCTGATTTCCAAACCTTGTTATAAAATCTTGGATCTTAATAGTTCCAGCACTTCTAGACTATCTGGCAACACACTGCAAATCCAGAAAAATAGAAATATATGTGTAGTTTGTGTGAACAAGTAAATTAACCATCAAATTTGTTTATTGCTATTTAAAAGATATTATCTCCCTGTGGGTTAAAACTGAGACCTAAGTTGTTATGCTCAGCAACAGAGTTTGTCAGTGGCAAAATTAACTCCTTTGATTATTTATTGATGCAAGAAAAGACACACCAACAACACTTGTGGCTCCCTTTTCAAGCTAAAATAAAAAAGGGCCCATTTTTTCAAGTGGCTCTGAAGACTAGATTCTTGTACTATGAGACTGGTTTCCATAATTTCCGAAAACATCACAGACTGATCTTTTCCTAAAACCACATTTACCTTGTGTCAAGACCCTGCCTAGGGATGGTAGAGTGTATTTTGCAAGCAGTGGTAGTTAAGTTATGTCCCTAAAAAGCATCAAGTCCAATGTAGTGACCACCATTCACTGGTAGGGTGCTTTCCATTTGATAAAAAAATTCCTGTTTGAATTTTGTGGAGATTAATTTCCAGTGACAAATGAAACAGCATTTTCTGGAATTTCCAGAAAGGAGGACAACCTTGTGAGGTATGCTGAGATTTTCAAAAATTTATCTCTAGGAATTTCCGTTACATTTGACTTTCCTCCTGGAATTTCGGTTGAATGGTTTGCTTGTCTGAAATTGAACAATTTCCGGATTCCTGGAAACTTTCCCTGGAAACTTCCATACCATTTGTCCCCGTTTCGAAATTTTCAGAGTTTTGAGGAAAAATGCAGAGGGACCCTGGATCTGGGAAGGAATCCCGGCATTATCCCGACCCAGTCCAGGGACGGCATTGAGAGATTAAAAGGAAGTTCAGAGGCAGAAGGAAGACGGCGTCGACAAAATCTGGATCGGACCGGACCGGACCAGACCAGATCACGGATCGGATCACGGATCGGATCACGGATCGGATCATGGATCGGATCACAGATCGGATCACGGATCGGATCACAGATTGGATCACGGATCGGATCACAGAAAAAAAAAACGTTTTAAAGAAAAAAAATATCAAATCGTTTATAAGATAATAATAAATAAAAAATAAAAGTGGAAAACTAAAATATGTTAAATAAAAATAAGAATCCCGAATTTGACGCAGTGACATGTTAATTACAGAGAATGACAAGAGGTCATTTAAAAAGCCACATAA